GAAACCACATAGTGGTTTCCACATAGATTCCCGACATGGAAACAATCAACCTGTGGTTTCCCGTAAGTTTCCCAAGATAGGAAACCATGGAAACATACCCCGGTGGTTTCCACATAGATTCCCGATATGGAAACAATCAACCTGTGGTTTCCCGTAAGTTTCCCAAGATAGGAAACCATGGAAACATGCCCCGGTGGTTTCCATGTAGATTCCCAATATGGAAACATCCAACCTGTGGTTTCCCGTAAGTTTCCCAAGATAGGAAACCATGTAAACATGCCTCAGTGGTTTCCATACAGATTCCCGACATGGAAGCCACCAATGTGTACTTTTCCCCATGTTTCCCAGGCAGGAAAACTTTGAAAGTATATCTCAATACTAACCCACCTACCTTTTATTTTACAAAAAGTTAAATATTTAATTATGTTACCATATTTTTACCAATTATAGAAATATTTCAAAAGTGTTTATATGCTGTATCAAAATAATTAACTTCAAACAGTTAAAATAACTAGATGTGTATTTCTGTGTGATTTATTTAATATTTCAGCACCGTGAACGCAATTCAATTTTAATTTAATTTTATTTAACTGAATTTTATTTAATTTAATTTAATTTTGAATTTGATTTATCACATAAGTTTTGGTAAACTCGTATAGAATGCGTGAAGTGGAATAGAAAAAAGTAGGTGCATGCAGTTATGTAGAAATCAATCATTTCCGATCCCACTTTCTTGAAGCTGTCTATGATGAATGTTCCTTTGAAAAAATGGAAGAGCTAAGGAAGGGTACATTTAATGAAATTATTTACAGACAAGGTTTACTAAAAAGATCGATTAAAAGTAAATAAAGAAATATGTCAAGTTACGATTACTGATTAAGGACAGGTGAGGCGTTCCTCAATAAAATAATTAATTTTTTTCCCAATATTTTGCAATTGACATTGAAGAATTATTTTTACATGATTACATGTATTCACAAGACATCAAGGTACCTTACCAGGCTTTTGTGTTAGATACCAGAGGTTGGCATTTCTTATATACCGGGGTAATCCGTCAGGAAATAAATACTTCAGTTGGTTTGTCAAAATTACATTTTTAGTGTTTCAAGTTTTTAAATACAAGTTTAGAAAGTGATAAAGATTTTGTTTTAATATGAATTAATATATTAATATAAACTGGTCAGATAAGAATCATTCATCGAATTGGCTGGGGGTTGAGTATTATCATACTAGTATTTTACTATTAATAGTGAATATTGGGGGTTTTTTTTATTTATTAAATAATTATTTTTATTATTGGGAGTGGGTGCGTTGCTTTTCATTTTTTCCTTGAGAAGCCCCCCCCCCCCCAAAAAAAACGCTTTTGAAAAAGTCACTATGGTCGGCCTGTGTAATTAGGGACACCTGTCCTCACGTGCCATTTCAGGTGGAGACACGTGCCGCGAAGACACCTGTCACTGTGTATTTTTTGTATATTCTATGTGAATTGAGACGGTTTTGTACCTAAAGGGAACAATGGGCTGTTGTCGAGCATGTACACACACAGTCTCCGACAGAAAATTCTTTTAAATTAAGATGATGATTCGTGTTTCTTTTATCATTTAAAGAATTGTATATTCCATAAATAAAGTTATACAAGAGAACATATTTATAAAATAACCTACATTTAAGAAGTTCAATGAAAGAACAAACTATTTAGAATTTTTATTTCAATTTTCATTACTGATTTAAAATAAAACTATCCTCTTTAGAAATTAATTAATTTTCTATAGGTACTGAATAGATCTTAATTCTCGTCGTGTATAATTATATTAAATCAGAATGACGTTAATAGATCAATGTGAAATCAAAACTGTATTTAATATTGTTGATGGTTTTTTGTGTGAGATTTGTAATCTAACGTACTACAAAGACATTTATTAGATAAATGTTTATAATATCATCCATCACATAAAACGTTTTTTCTTTCCCCTTTTTTTGTTTAAATATGTACGCAGATCCCCGTGTAGTAAACGCCTGCACTTTTCGCATGAAATTACAATGTAGGGTCCTAAATGTACATACATTATATTTAACAAACTTTAAAATTTTCAGCCATTTTTTTTTCTCCAAAGGCCTTTGCTCTAGATAAAGAAAGGTCTATAATATTTTGCATGATTTTGTTTTCCTTAAGAACAATGGCTTTTAAAGTAGTGCATGCTAAGGCAATCTATTAAAAGAATTAATTGTATAATTAATCCATTGTATAATTGTCACGATTGTATTTTTGTGCAGTTTTTGTTGATTTCATTCTATAAAGGTATGAAGTTTGTCAATACTTCAACAAACATTTCTTTATCTATGTTGTACACTACTTTATTTCTATTCGCCGACATGCTACTCTTTTTAAAAAAAAAAAACTTGCGTGACTAATAGGCTCGATCTTCAGGCCTGTAGGAAAGTAATTTCCGTTAGAGTAATAAACTAACCGGGGTTTTATTTTTACTAGCATACCTTACCAGATTTCTTAACGAAAAAAAAAAATTAAAGAAATACAGGGCGGGACCAGCTAAAGCTGTATGCATAAGTACAGCCCTGTACATCAACGAGTATAGATGACTTTCGACATAATCTTTCCCATGACTTCACTTATGCCAATCACGACTAAAATACTGAATTAAAATACTGTTATATTTTCCTGCCTTTGATAAGATGTTAGTTTTGTTCCACCTAGAGATATAACTCTCCTAAGAAAAAGGTTTTCAACGTTCTGATACATTTAACAATTTTACGTGTTAAAATGATGTGGGAAATTTTTTTAGCTACAGGCGAAGGAGTTTAAAGTACAATGTACATGTAGCAATTAGAGAAAAATCTAGCAGGTCCACCAGTTATATTGATAGCAGGCTCAAAATGTAATTAAACCCCGAAAAGGAGGGAGTTCAATTAGTAATTTAATCCCCCCCCCCCCCCCCCAAAAAAAAACACAACAATTTATTAGCAATGAATTATTAATCACCGAACTTTTCAATCATCACTATTGAAATAAAAAAAAACTGTTCTTGATAATCATATTATAATTGTAGCTCATTTTCATGCCTTTTAGGATTCCTGTGGAAAGTTCACAATAAAAAAAAATGTGCTTTTAAAAATTTAACATCTTTTGGTGTGACATTTTAAATTCATAATCATACATGTAACAGTTAGAAGAAGCGGGGAGAGGGGGGGTTACTTTCAACAAGGACGGCCACTACCAACAACCAAGCCCTGAAACCCATATCCCGAAGGCAAATAAGTTGAGGTGTCAAGCAAGAAACATTTTTTTTTTCTGCTCTTGCCCGCCTCATGTATTTAACCGCATTTTTTTTTTCTATATATATACTAGGCCTACACATCATATCGGCAAAAATATTTAGGAGCCCCTCTTTTTAGTCCATGAAAAGGGGAAAACTTAATTAATCATAGTGAATGTAAACAGTTAATATTTCCCATCCTGCGTCGCTCTGTAGGCGCTATATTTCATTGGTCAATTTCCCGAGGCGCCATTTTTGGAGGATCGAGAAGGACGAAGAAGAAGGTGTAAGCAGCTAGTAAATGTGAAAAGTTAAGATGGTTTCACCACCCAGTGTCTTTAAGACTGTGATAAATGCAATGGCCAACGATGAAGGATTAGTGTACGTATATTTTTGTTAACTTTTTACGGTAAATAGTTGTAATATTTGGCAACAACAAATCTTCACTATCGGAGGCAACTTTTGTTCTGACGCCATTTTGAAAAGTTGGATACCTAAGTTTTAAATTGTTAAGGTAGGTCCGTACTTTCAGAATTTTCTGTCAAACTGTTTATTTTTTGATTTGAAAATCTTGAATAAGTCATAATCTAACAAAAACACCCATAAAAAACATATCTTTGCAGGTTAATTTTCATGCCACATGTCTCGGAGTATATGCCTCTAAAAATTCAACAGCAACAATTCAACATATAGAAGTGTAACATCATATTTTATTTAACTATGTACCAAATCGCATCCAATTATTGTTAAAACTTAGGAAAATCATAAATATTCATTTGTCAAGAAAATATTTGAAATTTGTATTTGAAAACACTAAAAAATTGATGTTGATTCTGTCAAAATCTTTCAGAGAAAAAGCTCAAAATATCTTTATTTTAAATATTCCTCAAAATCTTATATGTTTATATGCTATTTTTTCTTTACAATTATTTAGAATTATATCTAAGGTTAGCACAAAAACATACTTTATTATGGTTGACCAGAAAAATTTTACAAAACAGCCTTTTGAACACCTATACCCCCATTTTTGGAATATCTATTTTTTCAATCGTTCTTCGCAAAACCTATAAAAAAGTAAATTTAAAAAGATGATATAGGCTAAAAATTAAAGGTAAATAGATCTCAAGTTAGTTTGTTTAAAAAAAATTAAAAAGCTTTAGGTCCATAAAGGCAATTAAGAATTCTCTGTCTGTGTATGTACTAAATTACATATAGATCCTATGGACAGAGTGCAAAGTGGTTATTCCTATAAATAATGCACATTAATTAAATGCTTTGTGTGCACAATGACAGTATAATAAACAAATATATAATTGCTACATTATTTTCAATCATCAAAAAAGATTTTATTTAATCAAAATTTTATATTGGTGTGTAAAATTAAAACCGGATCCGTAAAAGTATGGACCTGCCTTAAGTGTATATATTGCAGAGAGAAAGAGAGAGAGAGACAGACAAACTTAAGACAGTGATATAGCATAATTTAGATTATGGAGGCCCCAAAGGCACCGTGCATGTGCATGCTATATGTTGTAAAATGGCAACGTTTCGCCTTTTATCATGTTCATTAAAACGTATGCTCCATATGTATGTTCTCTCTATATATATAAATGAATACTTTTCGGAATTAAAAAAAAAATATTTTTAACCCCGCTCAAATTATCCGGATGATAATAGTTACACCGAGCATGGTTTCGTAGTTAAATTCAGACAGTAGAACATCCGGTTTGAATACATGTGTTTTCTGACTTTTCGGATAGCCAACTCTTGTTTTTTTTGGAACTTACGACTTATGGCAAGGTATAAATTGAATATTTTTGGTTCAAAACTTTGATAAAAGCATCGATATGTTTACAAAAAGTGTCTTCAATCTCAGCTTATCCGATTATTCATGAAGGATATCCTCATCAGAACAGTTGGAATAGATTGTAGTCAATACTGTAGCACAACCCTTAATGTTAATCATATGCATGACGATGATATGGAGGAAAATATACATAAAAAGTGAATGTAGGTGAAAGCTTGTCCACTTTTCTGAAGAGATTAGGTTTGTTTTATTGTTTATTGAAATAGTTTACTGCTCAAAAGATTTTTTTTGTTGGTAATGTCTAACCTGTTGAGATGAAGATGTAAAAAAAGAAAAGCCTAATAGTGAATTAATATTGATAGTATGTCAAGAAATGCAAATGAATCATCAGCTTGAATTATGAGTTTTTTCACAGGGCTCTCGATTCTCTGAAATTGGGGCCATTCAACGGCCCCGTTCCCAATGCAAAAAAGGTACCTTTTTTCCCAAAAGAAAGATGTAAATTTCCCAATTTTCATAGCAAAATATTAATTAAAAAATAAAAGTCCATGAAACTTAATCGCAAAAAAAAAAACCCAAACAAAACACACTTGAAAATGAAAGTGAAACTGTACCACTGTTTTATTAGTTCATGCCAAATGCATTCGTAAACTGGTTCGGGGAACCAGGTTATTGTTTTTTACCGAAATGTGTACTATGAGTTCAGAGTATCTTGTCATGTAGTTTCGACAAAAAAACATAATTTTGGTTTCAAAAAAAGACATTTCACTTAAATATTACCGGTAGTAAGCTGCACGTAGAACATGTAGAAACATACCCATGCACGCTTCGGCATGATCAGTCTCGCGCTGTATTGGTAAGCAACTTTGTCCATGTGATCGAGGAAATTCGGGACAATGTGACTAGCGACTGTCACTCAGAAAGACATAACCTCAATATCAACACTCAAAGATAGTAATGACAAAGCTAATGTACTTTCATAAATAGCCTACATACCCATGTTTGATCTGTATTCAAAACCAGAGTTAAATAGATGACAAAATGCTAGAAAAGCAAAATTTGAGGATTTTTTAAAATGAACATTGGTTATCCAACTTTTCCCAAAAGGATGGTAATTTTCCCAATTTGAACGGCCCCGGTCCCAGTCCCAAAAAGTGGTGTGAGAGCCCTGTTTCACAATTATTGACCTGAGTAGGTCAGTGTATAGCAAATAATACATACTCTTTTCCATATCACATCCTAGCCCGAGACACCAATATCAGCCAGAGGGACAGAGGCCCTAGGGCTGATATTGGTGGACTTGGTCTGATACAGGATGTGATGTGGAAAAGGGTATGTTTCATTATGTTTATTACAAACTTGGTAATAAAATACAGAACACTTCAAGTTGAGAAGATCAAGAAAATAAGTAAATAATCATGCACAATAAAACTACTTACATACATGTACACGGTATTGTCTTACTGAACAGATTTAGCTGTCATTGATTAGGTCAAAATTGCAAATAATAACATGCTTCTTAATCTTATATCTGTATATGCAGGTAACTCTTGATGGCTTGAACTTCGATTTCTCGGAAGTTCTTGATCGCTTGAAGTGAGTCTCCAGTCCCGATTTTTTCCACTATATAACTAAGCAGATTTGCTCTTGATTTCTCGAACTCCTGATCTCTCGAAAACCCTTGATCCCTGTGAATTTTACCCTTGATACCTCGAAGTGGCTGTGTGTATACCAAGTTATAATGTTCAAACTTTTGCCATAACTGTATATCTGTGTGTCTGTCTGAGTGTCTGTCGTCAACTTAAACCTTCACCATAACTTTAGAACTATACAAGATAGTGGCTTCATATTTAGTATGCATACTCCACTAATGAAGTGCTTTCAAATGGCAACAAGGACAATGATTATGTGATCTTGACTGTGACCTGTATACTAAAAAAAATTGCATTTTCGAACTTTGTTGCTGTGTTTCACAAGCGCATCTTGGTTTTAGCTCTACTGGTCAGAGACCATAATAGCTTATGCAATAGAAATGCGTCCGTCCATCTGTCTAGCTGTCCGTCTGACTGCAAAAACTACTCCTCCTTAAATTTTAGTCTGATTTCAATATAACTTGGCACACAAGTAGACTATACTAAGATACATAATTCTGTGCATCAGTTTTTGATAAGTACAAACCAGTAGAGCTACAGTCTCGACAGAGACTTCTGGTTATTTTTTCTTCCATCCCGGTTGTTGCTAATGCTATTACATAATTAGTTTAAATTAGAATGCAATAGTACCTGGACATAATTTATCATTTCAGAGAGAAGAAAAAATGTGTGACTTTAAAAGAAAACCAGTGAGATAAAATCATAGAAAATGTATGATGATTCAGGATGTGGTCATTTGGTAAGTGGTAATTCATTCATGATTAGTATGTATATGACAATTGCCTAAAAAAAAAAGATTCTAAATTTTATTTAAATATTGAACTGTGGTATATCAGCTGTGAGCTACAAGAAGTTTTATGTAAAAGCTAGGGCTGAAACAATTTGCCCCCTCCATGTTATGTGTGTATTGCTATGATTGACATACAATCAGTTCTCTAATACATACACTTCAATAAAACTTTGTCGTCTTGGACCTGAATTGAACAGGAAAAAACTCTGAGATCTCTCCAAAAATTTGAATGAAAAAAAGGAAATGCTTATTAACTGAATTCTTGCTGGTCAGTATTTTGATTACTTAAAGGAAGCTCTAAAAACTGCACACTAAAGAGTTCTACTTTAATATCAGGTAGTTTTATGAAGTTAGAGTGATCTGCCCATAGATTAAGGTTATGAAAAATGTTATTTTACAGTCAGTTAGATTATTTTTAATAGATTAAATTATTTTTAGCATTATTTAAAATAAAAAAAATAGGAAATTAATTATTTTCATAAATTTTTTCCAATGTAAGTAAACAGCAATGATTTCTGCTTACAGATAGTCCATTGTCTTTGAAATTTTCTTGGGGAAATGAGGCACATACCATATGTTCTAAATGAATAAAAAAGGCTCATTATGCACATATTTATATGAAATATGATAGATTTTTTTCTCTTAAAGGAATAATTTCTGCAAGTCACTAAGTTTTTAGAGTTTCCTTTATTTTATAGATATTCAAGTGAAATTATTTGAAGTATTAAATTTTGGTAAATTTTATGATACTAAAAGCTAGGTTATATGGATGAAAAAACAGCATGCGTGTATGACAATAGGGCTTAAATTTTTAATGTCTCTTAATTTTTCAGTGACATTAAAACAGGCATTGTCATCACCAATAGACGAATTTCACATTCCTAAGAGTTTTCTCCAATTGTCGGCGTATCGCTCATTTTTCCCACTTTGTCCTTTGTAAGTTACTTGTTAATATTTTCAATCTTCAAAAATATTGGACAATTACGATCTGTATCTGTATTGCCAGAGTATGGTGGCAACATGAAAATCATAATGAATATGTTCATACAGATTTTATTTCTAAGATATTGTCCCTCAAAGTTAATACGGTTTAAGCCGGTTGACCCCAGATCAACCCTGCGAAGGGGAATAACTTTTGTAAATGTGAAAGTCCTTTATGGTATATCATATAGATCTAAAACTGACTGAATTTTGATCAGCCAATTCATGAACATGATGAATGGATGTAAATAATGTTGGTCAATATATGTAAAAAAAAAAATTAAATTACTTGTTATATATATACATTTGTGGTATCTCTCCCATTGAAGTTTATAAACTTGTTATTTATTTCTAAAATAAACTGAGCGTACATGCAATACCGGTATAAAATTACTCATAAGATACATGTATACTTAAACCATGATAAAATCATATGTGTCTAATGCAGCATATGATAAATCATTAACATACAAGAACATGTGTATATATACTGTAATACATATATATTGCATTATTTTTAGGTCCTATTCTGTGGATGCCCTAAGACAGTGTCTACCCATCACTCCATCTGAAATCACTTGTTCTATGCATATTTCTCTCTCAAACTTAAACTACAGAGAGCCTGTGGATAGAGGATGAAGAGTGACCTTGGACTAATTTTCTAGGTCAAAGGTTAGTATCAAAATCTACTGTATATCTTTATTTAAAATCTGGTGTAATCTAGCTTTTGTGCAATGGGATGGAGGGTCTGCAATGATCTTCAACCAATTTCTAGGTCGAATATCAAAATTAAAAAAAAAATCTCTCCCTAATATTTTTGTTATTATAAAGGGTATGTTTTCTCTCAAACTAATCAAACTTAAAGCAGGGTTCTTAGTATGAGATACATGTAGTAATATATTCTCAATGACATAATAAGGCTGAAAACATTATTTATATTATGTTATTTTTTTTCACTTATCATAAAGCATTAAATATTAAAGAGATACATTAAATGCTGAAATCATATGTATCATGGTCATGGAAAGTAATTATTGATATTGGTATATTAAAGGACATTGACTGATCTCTCAGATTTCTAAGTTATATTCAAGCATTATAATTCTGACATCATATAATAATTTTGTATGAATATTGCAGATCATAGGTGATGTGAAGAAAACCAGGAAACTGATGTTGAAAGAAGTACTTAATGACCCTTATGAATGGACTTAAATGTGAAAGACTGTTCCATTGTTTATCTAAGATATATGAATTTATTTAATATTTTGATATTGAAAAATTCAGTTACAGTTTTTGTACATCAAATGAATTATTAAACATATAAAATGGAAATGCTTTTTTCTTTTACATGTAATAAATTTTTTTGATAGATTTTTAAAAGAATACCCATTATTTCACATTGCTTCCTTTAGAAAAGTTAGGGAATCTTGAAGTTTCCCAGTAATTTCCACCAGGAATGGGACTCTAGATAATTCCACCAAGTTTCCGCCACACAGAAAGTGCTACACAAGTTCCACATAGTTTCCCGAGTCAAGGAAACTTCAGGAATCATAAGGTTTCACGAGCTTCCATGTAGTTTCCCATAAAAGAAAACCTTAAGATTCCATCAAGTTTCCATTCCACGGAAACCACTAAGGAAACCAAAAGATTCCATCAAGTTTCCATTCCACGGAAACCACTACGCTCCGATTCCATATGGTTTCCTGAGTCAAGGAAACTTTAGGAATCGTGAGGTTTCCCGAGCTTCCATGTAGTTTCCCGTACAAGGAAACCTAAAGATTCCACCAAGTTTCCATTTCACGGAAACCCCCTACGCTCCGATTCCATCAAGTTTCCTGATTCTGGAAACCAGTGGAATCTTCAGGTTTCCCATTACGGGAAACTACATGGATGTTCGGGAAACTTCAGGTTTACAGAGGTTTCCGTGGTACGGGATACCTTATGGAATCGGAGCGTAGGGGGTTTCCGTGTCACGGAAACTTGGCGGAATAACCTAGCATCCGCTACGGAAACCACTGGGAAACATGATGTAAACTTGTGGTTTCCATAAAGTTTCCCATGATGGGAAACCACTTTTTTCACCCAGTAATTTGACATTCTGGCCCCTAGTAACCCCTAATTACGTAACATATGATAAAAATATTATGATATATTGTTGCAAATCGTTAAGATGAATACTTTTGCTTAAGTAGTGTATAACAAAATATTAATCATTAGAGAGTTATAGATAAAAGACTTTTGGCCCCTCTGAGCCCCTAATTTGAGGGGTCAGCCCTTTTTTCTTGATCTCAAATGAAAGGTCTCATGATTTTGAAGACTTTTTGTTCAACACTTATTCAGAGATTTCTTTTCGTTATGGAGATATGCTAAATAGAAATATTTAGGGGCCATCGCTACAAGTCCTTAATGGGACCGTTTTACAGACATTCAATGCATGCATATTGTTTAGAACATTATTCTGACCATCTTTTGTTCAATATTGCTTATCAAAATATTCCCCCTTTTTTGAGATATAAGGCGTTAAAGATTTGACATTCTGGCCCCTTGTGACCCCTTATTATCATATGATCAAAATTTTATGATATATTGTTGCAAATCGTTAAGATGAATACTTTTGCTTCAGTAAGATATAACAAAATATTGATCATTAGAGAGTTATAGATAAAAGATTTTTGGCCCCTCTGAGCCCCTAATTTGAGGGTTCAGCCCCTTTTTCTTGATATCAAATGAAAGGTCTCATGATTTTGAAGACTTTTTGTTCAACACTTGTTCAGAGATTCTTTTCGTTGTGAAGATATGCTAAACGGAAATATTTAGGGGCCACCACTACAAGTCCTTAATGGGGCCATTTTACAGAAATTCAAAGTATGTATAATGTTTAGAACATTATTCTGACCTTCCTTTGTTCAACATTGCTTATCAAAATATTCCCCGATTTGAGATATAAAGCGTCAAAGATTTGACATTCTGGCCCCTTGTGACCCCTAATTACGTAACATAAGACCAAAATATTGTAATATATTGTTGCAAATCCAATACTTTTGCTTCAGTAGTGTATAACTACTGAAGCAAAAGTATTCATCTTAACATCTTAACGATATTGATCATTAGAGAGTTACAGATAAAAGACTTTTGGCCCCTCTGAGCCCCTAATTTGAGGGGTCAGCCCCTTTTTCTTGATATTAGCTGAAAGTTCTTAACATTTTGCACATGTTTCCCTCTATATGTTTTAGCAA